AGTACCTTCGATCTATGCTATATGATTCAGAACAAGAGGTATTTTTTCAAGATGAGTATCAATTATTAAAAGCTTGAAACGTGCCGGAACAAGCGGCTGTAACAAATCTGCCTTGAATATTTTTTGAATCACATACCATCCTGAACATACCTTATAATAGTATATATAGTAGCTTGTGTACCTTTGATCGGTACTATATGATTCAATATCAGGACCATTTTTTCTGCATTAATACTAATCATTAAGAACTACGGAACTACCACAATATGTAATTGCAGAACAACACTATTGTCAGCATTTTGTAAGAAATATTTTGTAGCGTAGATTTTACTTGAAAAGGTCGAAGATAGTGGCATCATATACTTAGAAGTTATCGATGACTTGGATTAAGAATATGATATGTAACATTTCAAAGCTCTATTTTGTTGACTTGGAATGCAGAAAAAGCAGTGTAGGAAAACTGTAGGAAACTGTTTGGATAATGCCCTTGAATAAACAAACGCCAGATATGGACATTGACGTTCTGCTGAGAGAATGAGAAAAAAAACAAGAAATGAATAGTTTTTTGCTGATTGATGTTGAAGAGTATTCCAATACATGACATACTGGCTTTTCCCAGCAACTGTATATGTGTGTGGTTGGACATTATTCTTTTCTAAACAAAGTTATTAGTCCTGTATGCATTTGATTTGATTTCGGATAATCCGAATGTTCAACGTACAGGATGCATAGAACTAAAGAGAAATACATGTAGAAATATCCACTATCAACAACGAGAAACTGCTTCTTGATCATAAAACCCAATCGAAATATCGGTGAATATTTCGACAAACATTACGTTATAACGCTTTCAAACGAAGTTCGAATCTAATCTGACGTACTGGATCTATAATATATTAAGCATTAAAACTCTGTATCATTTCTCATGAAATCTCCACTTTCAAAATTATTTACTTCTCTCGGAAATAATTCACATAATAGATGTTCGATATCACTTGTCACATACTTCAGTCATAAGATGAACGGTATGCTATGGGAAAAGATTAGAGCACAGTTTGTTTTTTGTAAGCATTTGCTCGAGCATTTCTAAAGCTCTTGATGTTTAGTACTGATACTGAAAAAATAGCTCTGGTTCTGAATCATATAGTAGAGATCAAAGGTACACAAAGTCACTACTGTAGGTCACTTAGGGGCTTATCTGGCGGGTTACCAAAGTAAGACAAAAGTTTAACTGACCAAGCTGAAATTTATAGTAGTGACTACTAACTATGAAAGCTACGATTGCTGAAAGTTTCATGAAAAACTGATTATGTTTTCTATGGGGGCTGATAACAACGCAAAATGTGTCCCCCATCCTACGATAGTTTGTCTGGAATGTTTTCAAAATAAAATCTTCAATAATAATTGTAAGATTTGATCATTTTCTTGTATAATTATTTTATTCAATTATCTATATTTAAAATAATGTAAAGAGATTTCGATTAGCTACAAATTGACAACTAGATTTTTTATTTGTTTATATCTATTTATATAATCAGTATGTATGTTGCTCATGATCATTGATTTAGTTTATATGTATAAAGTTTTTCAATTTTCATTGATATTTCAAATTATTTCTATTTATTTTACTCATTTTTATAATTTATTGATGAAATTAATCGAGAGATTTGATTGATATAATATGCTGTATAAATTATTCATTTAAAATTTAAAAAACTTTAATTAAATAGGTTGTTGTTCATTAATTGAACAGATTGAATAAGATCTTTTTTGTTTACAGTATTTGGTTGGTAATTACGTCTTATATAAAATATGTAATAGAAATCGTTGACATATTCATTTCAAAAAAGTCTTTTTTTTTTAAAGAAAATATTGAATTGAAATGTGATATCCATCGATAGTTTTTACATCTACTTTTTCCTTCTCTAATAATTTATTTTCGTTGAATAATAAAATTAAAAATAAACAAATATGATATTTCGAAATATCTATCAATCTTCAAAAGAAGTGGCACCTACATGCTCTCCTCCTTCCTCTCACTACTTGGTTTTTTTGTCTTTAACAATATTTTTGTTGTAGTTGATATTGATCTTCTAATAGATTATTATTATGCAGATATCATCTATATTTGTATAAATAATTACCAAATTTTTATTATTATACACAATTAATAATGCTCTACTAAATAGAAGTTAAATCATTTTCAATTATTTATTTATTAACAACCCACGGAAAAAATTTTTTCGAAAAACCGGTCGAAACCGCGGTTTTTTTCATTCGACCGCGGTGTTACCAGAGTAAACCGCGGTTTTGATTAAAGAACCGCAATTGGTAGCGGTTTTTTTGAACCGCGGTTTTCTCAAACCGCGTTGCTCGTATTCATAACCGCGGTTATACATACCGCGGTATTCAACAGTCTAAATAGTCGCGGTATGATGATTGGAAACCGCGATATTTCATAGCACGGTATTCAACGGTTTCCAAAACCGCGGTATAATCATCAGCAACCGCGGTGATAAATACTGCGGTATTGAGTGGTTTTTTAAACCGCGGTGTATTCATCAGTAGTTGCGGTGGTGAATAAAGACGGTACTGAGCGGTTTCGAAAACTACGGTATAGCATTAGTTATTGCGGTAATAAATACCGCGGTACTCAGCGGTTTCTAAAACCGCGATCTAGTCATTAGTAACCGCGATCTAGTCATTAGTAACCGCGATGGTGAATACCGTGGTATTTAGCGGTTTCTAAAACCGCGGCACAATCATCAGTAATTGCGGTGATAAATACCGCGGTATTGAGTGGTTTTTTGAACCGCGGTGTATTCATCAGTGGTCGCGGTGGTAAATAAGGGCGGTACTGAGCGGTTTCAAAAACTGCGGTATAGTCATTATTTATCGCGGTAATAAATACCGCGGCATTCAGCGATTTCTAAAACCGCGGTTTAGCCATCACTAACCGCTGTGATAAATATCACGGTATTTCATGGTTTATAAAACCGCGGTGTAGTCATTAGTAACTGCGGTGGCTAATACCGCAGTATTCAACGGTTTCAAAAACCGCGGTATAGTCATTAGTAACCGCGGTGGCAAATACCGCGGTATTAGGTGGTTTTAATAATTGTGGTATAGTCATAAGCAACCGCGGTATTCAACGGTTTCAAAAACCGCGGTATTTTTTGTGCTTATACCATCGTGATGGAATGTGTAAGGACGAAGAGGATGTCGTGCCCTGCTATTTTCATGCAAATTTTGAATAAGTTTTCTTATTCTATCTTTCACTACAATGTAACTTTGTGGTAATGGAACTTCGAAAAGTTCACTACAGGCCCCTCGAAGGGTGGCTCATCTGAACTTTATCATAAGTTCGGGTGAGTCTGGTCATACCTGAGTAAGGTGTGGCCATGAAAACCGCGGTATATAGCGGTCCAAAAAAACTGCGGTTTCCAGCGGTTTTATGAAACCGCGAAAGTCAGACCTTTTATTCAGTTTTTTGAAACCACCAAAAACTCCGGTATTGGTACACTGCGAGTATTACCGCCTGCATAAACCGGCAAAGTCAGACCTTTTACGCGGTTTTTCCTGATCGCGGTAATTAACGGTTTTCGAAACCGCGAAAGTCAGACCTTTTATGCGGTATTTTCAAACCGCTAAAAACCGCGGTCACATTGACCGCGGTGCATAGCGGTTTGAAAATACCGCATAAAAGGTCTGACTTTCGCGGTTTCTCAAAACCGGAGAAAACCGCGGTCAAAATAACCGCGGTTTTTAACGGTTTTTATCAAAAATTTTTTCCGTGGGTTGGCAGGTTGTGGTTCAGGGACTTCAATCAAAATCTCTGCTAATCCTAAACAAAGTGATGTTCGTTTGCTCTTGGAAAACGGTTTCACTTTCAACTGTGAACGACGAATTGGTGATTAGAGTCTGTCGAAACGGATCCGGGTTCGGGTCGGAAAATTCTTGGACCCGACGGACTATGGTGGTGGTTGATATTCTTCTTCCTCTGCATTTTGTGCAACCATTAATTCATTCTTTAATTTTATTAAAGAAGATTCTCAAATGCCCAATATAGTCATCAACCGAGCATTACAGTTGAAAAGAGGAATTGATGAACCTATTTTCTCATTTTCCAGAAAGGACGAGAGACGTTTTAGGAACATTTCGATCCAATGACAAAATAAAGGCAGAGTAACGTGAAAATTTCAGTAAATGTTCAACTAAGTGATAGTAGTCATACCTGAAAATTTTAGCTTGATCGGTTAAACTTTTCGTTTACTTCATCAATGAAATATATATTCCCAAAATATATGGACAAACGTACTTCCGTGTGAATATTGTGAACCTTCGTTCTCCACTATTTGATTCAGACTCGAAGCCATTTTCCTAGGGTCATTAATAATCACTAGGTACTACAAAACTGCAAAGACAAGAAGTTGAAAACAAACCTGCCTTCGTATCATCATGACGTACAGAGGCCACTGAATATCGAAAAAAGTACCTTATAGTGAATATTGTAGACCCTTGTTCTCGGCTATTTGATTCAGACACGCAGTCGTTTTTCTATCATCATCAGCAATCGCTAAATGCTACATAATTACAAAGAGAAGAGGCTAAAATTAAATCTGCCTGCATACCAAACTGAAGTACATAGTCCTCTCAAGATCCACAAAGTACCTCAAAGTGAGCCTTGTAGGTCTGCTTTATGAAGCATTACATTTAGGCTGGAAATATTGTTTCTCCGTGAATAGCAGGACCTAACAAATGGCAAAATGAGAAGCTATCAAAGAATGTTCTAGTTGCTTATTGTCTAACGGACGGTGGGCGAAATCGTAATGGAAAAGTACTAGTTTATGGTAATGGGCGATTATGATCCATACGGCTTTCTGCAAAGTGTCATGAACGGAATCCGGTAAGGTTGCATATCTAAGACAATGTAATTATGTCATCTTACTTGCATGAGTAATAGTTTTCGTGACTGGTTACTATAGGTGTGAAATGACTCGTGGTAAAAGAGATATTCATCAATTGATGATCGCTTAATTGAATGAGTTGTTTGTTCCCTGTGTACTCGAGGAACCGGGATGCCAGTGCGATACAGAACATTCTACGTTTTGATGTAGTACGTTTATACAATGATTAGCAAATATTATCAAACAGCTTGAGAAGCTGATTGCGAATTTCACATTGGAATAGTATAAGCCACTTTTTTCAAAGTTTTCTTTGAATGACGGAAAGACGCTAGTGTTGATCTTAGCCTAAATAGTTGCTCAGGTGATATTCACAAATAAAGAATCAAAATGTGTGAACTTCGCTCTTTTATACAGAGAGATAAAAAGAAAGAAAAGTAATTACAGCGCATGGCCCTAATAAGGACAGCTTTTCAAACGCCTTGAGAATTTCATTTTTTTTTCAAAAATTTTACATACGATGATATAATTTTTTCATATATTTGACTAGAGAAATGTCAGCTGAATCGAATGATGTGAAAATCATTTAATTATCTAAAAAAACAAATGAGTAATTAGCGGTAGTTTGAGAATGATTGAATTTGTCCTTATTAGGAGCTATGTTCCTAATAANATAAAACCTGTTGAGACTGGAACCGAAAAAGGTCGTTCTTATAGCATAAATAGAGTTTGATAAGCTGTGTCGAATGGCGTTTGAATGAACTTTCTAGTTGTTAAACCTTCCGAGTTAATTGAAGAACAGTGTGTCAAAAACGTAACAGCGTTACGTTTGGACAAGCCGATATATTGTGTTATACTCTGGTTACTGATATCGTCTGAATTTCATGTGAAAATGTATTACTTTAAAGTGCAAAAAATAGAGACTCCAGCATCGAAAAAGTTAGAAATATGCAGCGGCGCTCTACGCTGTCAGATAGGATACGGTATGAGTTAGAGAATTTCTTTCACGAAACAATCTCAGCAACTGACACCTTCTGTTTGTGCTTATAGTATAGATGAAAAATCTAAAAAGAGTTCTTTCCATTAGACGTTTCTTAAATTATGATCATTTTATTGAATTTTCATTTACACTAAGAATTCAAACGGAAGGTATCAGTTATTGAGATTCCTTCGTAGCATTTACAAAATATCATATGACCGATTGAAATAGTTCTAGAAAATTGTATTTTACAAATAAAATAAACTAACTATAGATGTATTGAAGAGAATCTAGCAAATATTATTCTTTGATTTAGAATGAAGATAATGAAGATGGAATGTGGGAAGAATCATTTAAAACTCATCATGATTCAAAACCCAATGGTAAAAATTATTTAATCTTTGTTTTTGTAATTATTGACTATAGAATATTTTTTGTTTTACTTAAGGTCCATCATCAATTGGTGTGGATATAAATTTTCTTAATTTTGAAAATGTTTATGGTATTCCAGAACATGCTGATGCATTTTCACTTAGATCAACACAGTAAAAACGAAACAATATTAACAAAAATTATTAAGTAAAAAAATGTTTTTTTTTTTTTTTTCAGTGACACAGATCCATATCGTTTATATAATCTTGATATATTTGAATATGATATTAAAAATCCTATGGCTTTATATGGTGCAGTACCTTATATGCTTGCTCATAAGTAAATTTCAATTGAAATCTAATATATAATCTATTGATTAATATTTAGTGAACATGCAACTGTTGGTTTCTTTTGGTTAAATGCTGCTGAAGCCTGGATTGATGTTCTTAATGATAAATTAAATACACAAGTAAGTTAATCGATTTAATAAATAAATAAATGGGTAATAGATATCGTTTTTTTTTGTTTTTGGTGAATGGTCCTTTTCTTTTCTTTTTTTTCCTTGCAGAACAATTGGTTTACGGCTCAGGTAAAAGACAAAAAAAAGAAATCTTAACTCTTGAAAATAATTTAAGACTTACTTTGCTGCATATATGCACAGTGAAGAATAAAAAAATATTTAGGCTCTTACTGCTTTATTCTTCAAAATGAAAATATTTATATGTGTTTGTATTATAATTTTTATATAAACTAATGAAATGGTGGTATTTTTTTTTACAATAGAAAATATTTTCTATAGAGAAATTGTATCACAATATTAATATGAATTTTTATTTAGAATTTTATTTCTACCATAACAAATTTTTTTGGTACTAAAACAAATAATGAAAATAGCGAAGTACCACAAGTTACAACACATTGGATGTTTGAAACAGGCATATTTGATGGTTTCTTTTTTATGGGTCCAACACCGAATGATATTTTTAAACAATATACAGTTATTACAGGAACTACACCACTTCCACCGGTATGATGTCTATTTACTTTAATGAAGAAATTACTCGAATTGATATCTACTGTTTGTGATCTTGAGAAGATTTCGGCAAGATTAGAAAAATCCTAAAAAGATTTATGTTCATGTATCCGAGTTTTACTAAGCTCGAGTTGATTCATATAGGAATATGTTTCAATAATATTTTCATATGTACCAAGTATAGCTCGACGACTTCTATCCAATGGCGAAAATCATATCAAAATAGAATATTCTCTTGCAGAGAAATCTTCATTACACCTGTGCTCATAGGTCCTAATACGGCATATCATGGAAGACTTTTTTCTTTGTCTCAGTTATT